TTTTTCTCAGGATACTTGGTGGTTCTTCCTTATCTAATGGGTTATAAATCATTAATATTTTTATTGTTAAACTATAAATAGATATGTTTAAGGGAGACAATTTGATATCTTGATATATTTGTACAATGTGGAATTATTTAAACCAGCAAACAAACTTATCTATTGTCTCTGGCGACCTATATAATTTTTATGGTGAGATTTTTGAAGTTTACTTATTTTGAAATGTGTTATCCATTATTATTGACTGTAGTCATTTTGTTGTGTACTAGATCTTAAAATACTCTCTCTGTCCATCTGAAATCCTATGGTCAACTGTACATCTCCCTGCACCCTGTTCAAACACCTGGAAACCAACATTTTACTCTCAATTTCATGAGTTTACCTCTGTTACACTACACATATAACCATGATCATATAATACCTTTCTTTTCCAGTATTGTAAACAAAGCTGAACCTTTTAAATAGAAAAAATATTTTTAGGATTTGTTCTTCATGACAGATGATTAGTGTGTGTGTGTGTGTGTGTGTGTGTGTGTTTGTTTGGTCATGGGCACATGTGTGGGTGCACCCTGTGTATGTATATGTGTCGGTGGAGTTCAGAAGGTGGCTTTAAACATCATGCCTCAAGAGTGACCCACCTTGTTTTTTTTTGACAGAGCCTCTCTCTTGGACCTGGTGTGCTTTTAAGTCTAGACTGGCTGGCCAGCAAGCTACAGGGATCTGTTTGACTCTGCCTCATCATGCTGGATTACAAGGGCACACCATGTACTTTGTTTCTTATGTGGGTACTGAGGATAGAGCTCAGGTCCTTTTGATGTGGGGGAAATTACTTTATTATCTGAGCAATCTCCCCCTTGTCTGCATATTGATCAAAGGTTAAGAAGATTTAGCATTGTATAACATTTTCACATATTTGTTCTAAAAATGTGTATGGATTTATAATCCCTGAACAGTGAAATGCTCAATGAAAACTATTTACCTATTTATAAAGAACAAATCATAGTTCACTTAAGAATGTGTTTAGTGGTTTGGCTCAGTGTTAGAGTGCTTGGATAGCCTATGCATTTGACTAAATTTCTATAACTGAGAATTTTGTGTTTTACTTATTGATAATGAGATATTTAAAAATTTTAATTTGCATGAGTTTGCATACTTTTTTAAAAAAATTATCGAGTTTTCTAATTATTAAGTGTGACTATGAGAGATGGACAAAGGACTAAAAGTTACAAGTATGGCACCAGTGATCCAAAGACAGATCATGGGTATTTCTCATACTAAGATATTTCCATGCATGAAAGAGAGAAAACTATTCGTGGATAATCAGACTGGCCACCCTTGGGCTGTAACTATATCTGTTTATCACCTTAAGAATTGTTTTGGTCACTCTTCTTCATTCTTTTGGTAAGAATCCTTACCAATGGAAATGTTAATACTGTCGATTAAAGCAGGATTATTGGTAGCAATGTCATTCATAATTGCCATGTGAAAATCTTAGAAAATATCTCATGATAGAGTGACAGTTATTGTTTCCTTCTTGTTCTTGTAGAACCTGATGCAGTAAGAGCATAAGTGACTGAGTAATAGAACTGTGCACCTGAAGTCTTAGAACATAGCCTCAGGCTCTTTGTTTAATGGAGGAGGCTACTGCCAAGGTCCAGGTAAGTTGTGTGGCTTGTACCATGTCACACAGTCAAGCTCACACCTGTGATCCAGCTAGATGTCTCATGAGTTCATAACTTAATAACAGGGTCTAAGCTATACTTATAGAAATCCTTAAAATGGAAAAGGCCCAGGTTTATAAACCTTTTAATTTAAGAAGAATATAAACAATGAGTCATCACAAAATCAATGCACACACAATGTTCTGAGATAAAATGTTGCCAAGATTCCAGAAACCCCACCTCTGTCCCTCATGAGGAACTGCTTGCTACCTCCTCTTTGGGACTAACCACTATCTTGACATTTGGTACAATAGTTACAAAGATTTGAAACATACAACTCAGTTTGTGCTGCTCTGTTTCTGGCCTTATTCCTGTGTAGAAGCTTCTTAGGCACTGGAGTTGGTCTATAACATTCCTTTTACTGTATGGAGTGTGTATGTACAACAGTTTGTCAGTTCTGCTGTTGATGGATGTCTCAGTTGTTTCTAGTTTGAGTCCCTGCTCAATACAATGCTGTTATGAACATGTCTGTTGGGTGAAAATACACATTTCTCCAGTAGATTGATAATGTGTAAGTATAATTTCTGGGCCATGGAATTTTACTGGACTGTGCCCAAATTTACTAGATACTGCCAAATGGTTTGCCAAAGTGTTTATACTCTAAGCCTCTTCCATTATGTAATGGGGGTGGTTTCCACCGTACCATAACCTCATCAACCCACTTAGGAGCAGATGGTAGGATCCCATCTTTAAAGTTTGCGTTTCTTATGATTAACAATAAATTGGTTATTTTTTGTTTGTTGGAAAATGAAATGTCCTCTTGTGAGATACCTACTAAGCTATCTTACCAGTTTTTCAATTGTATTATATTTTAAAGCTGATATTTATGAATAATCTGTATTTTGGCTATCTTCTTTTGTCAGTTACTTATGTTGCAATTTTTCACTCTTAGTAGTGTGTGTATTTGTGTGTGTGCATGTGTGAACAGATGTGCTTCACTTATTAATAGGATATGTTTTTTTCAGTGTTTCTTCTAAATTGCTAAAATCTATTTCTGTGCCCAGAGTAACAAAGGTTATCTGCATACCATTTATATTTGGTTTGGGAATGAAGCTCCAAATGCATTTCATTCAAAGTTTTGAGGCAGACATTGTGCCACTGGTCTTATATTCACACTTCTAGATTTTTATTCTTTTTATTTTTCTTCCTGTTCTATGCCCCAAAGAAGGATCTGTTGCATATGTTTAAGTTGACTTACTACAAGTGTCAGAATGTTAACAATTTTCAGGAACAGGAGTCCATCATGATGGTCTTGCTACCAGATTTGTGGTCATTGTTGCTGCCAATACTCTGAGGGTCTTTTTGAGAAATACTACTACCAGTGTTGGGTATGGTGACACACATCTGTAATCCTGTCACTAGGGTCGAGAAGGGAAGAAGATCAAAAGTTAAAGCTAGTATACACTACATGGTGAGACTGACTCAAAAAAAAAAAAAAAAAACAGATGAATGAGGAAACACAATCCCCAACAAAACATAAAAACAAACCCAGATCAACTACAATCATATTTTTCTATTGTAGGTTTTGTTCTACCATTGTTGTAAGAATGCCAAACTCGGTACCATTTTAATGTCTATTTTGTTGAATAGCCATTTTTCCATAAATGAAATTTAAAACATTTTTGTATGTTCCTATTTCTTTTAAGATATGTATGAAAAAATATGTGACTAAATCACTTGAGGAAAAAGAAATCTTTAAATATCTGGATCTTCTGGTATTTCTTTGTTGATTAATCTTAAAAATCCCCCAAACCTCTAAGTCATGTAGTCATTCACTGAACAAAGTTTGTATTATAGCCCTTAGGTTATGATGATTCAAGATATCTATATTTTTACCTCAATTGATAATAGATTACATGTCAACTAACGCTTTGGGGGAGAAACAAATATGAGAGAGTAATGTAATTTTCTTTATTCTTAGTAGTTATATTCAGTTTAATGTCACTGCTCCCAAACACATGCTGCAACAAAGTCAGTCTATTGTTCCCTCCCATCCTGGGATATGGTGTTTTTTTTTCTCTTTGTTTGTTTTGTGTGTGTGTGTGTGTGTGATCCCTTTTTATTCATTTATGAGGGGGAAAAGTCCACACTTTTTTAGTTGTTATTTTTATGAACTGGAAAACACTGCAGAATAGGAAGATTCAAGTTGACCTAGGCCTTCATTAACTCTTTAATGGCAACTATACATTTCATAGACTCTGTCCCTGTTTTTTGCTTCACAATAAAGAACCCAAGGTCATTAATCATTATTTGTAACCTATAACCAGTATAGGCTACACTAGCTAAAAAATACATAAAACTGAGCTACATGTGGGTCAGTGAAGGATTTAGAATATCATTTGCTAGGTAAGATAAAGGATTGCATTATTATTTCTCTTTTGATTCTGTCTTGAGCTCATCTAAAACTCTGCAGATAGAAATAGAACTATTTTGAATGATGATCTCAATATGAAATATAGAATCCACAGAATACACCAAAGTTTTGATGAAATAACATTCAATAATCAGGTTGCTATGAATCTTACATTAAAATTCAATTACATAGTAAAAATAGAGTAGTTATAGCTAGAAAAAATATCTTCAGAGGCAGCAGACACCCTTGGTGGAAATGAACAGTTCTACATAGAAAATCCAGGAAGTATGCAAGCTAGACACCAGGATACTCAGTACATTGAATTTAATCAGAGAGTACACACAGAATATGACATAAAACAGCAGGTTTCTAGAATAATTGTCATCTGGAAACACACGAAAATAATTTAGAAAATGGGCTAAAGTCATATTCTCTGGCAGTAGACTTCTTGGAAATATAGACATAGAATCAGATTTCTGTGTCATCTGGCTCCCTTCCCTTGTCACCAAGCCAACTTGAGTCAATAGTGTGGTTTCTATTCAAGCAGTAGACATGTCACTGATCCGTAAACTAAATCTCTAGGGAGACTGTTTTGTAATAAAGCCATAATTAACTAACTATTGATATTTGGTGCTTCAGATGCAGAAGCACATCCCTCTAGTAGATGGAGACAGCATAGAAGTACTTTGTGGGACAGTCCTATGATTGTTTAAAATAAAAATGCTTGGCTTGTCATGAGTTATTCTTCTACTCAGTGACAGATGTGTATTTACACATCTGACACTAGAATTTTTTAGATGAATCCTGGTAGAATTTTTAGGGAATCCAAATGTTCAGCTGCATTTGTGAAAGCAAAACCATGTTAGATTCATTTTTAATTGATTGTACTGACTGGCCTAAGCATGGACTTTCTTCTTTTCAATTATATGGTTACAAAAACTGTACATTACAAACAGTATAGAAACAAGCAGAAAAGAATGTGTCACGCATCCTGGATAATTCTCTATATGCAGTAGAATTTACAGATATAAAAGAAAATACAGCCTACTCTTTTATAGCGCACAGTTATGTTTTAGATACAATGTATCACTAGCAAATGGTTGTGGCCACCAACCCTAGTTGTCCCCAGCAGAGAGAATAAGGGCAAGATCTGTTCGGTACAGCTTCCCTCCATCCGACAAGGCCATTATGTTCTTCTTGTAGGTAGTAATATTATTAACATCCAGTTCCTGTATAGGGCATAGATAGGATTGTAATCCAATTAAATATGGAAGTTAATTAACCACTGGCCAGTGATAAAATGTGAGAAACTGCTTGTTCCATCAACCCACTAAGAACAGATTGGTATTAAGTTCTCTTAATTGAATAATTGCTAGGTTGTTTCTAACCCAGATTGGTTTGTCACAGTTTACTGATTTGTGCTGGACTCAGTTTGAGTTCAGGATTAAAGTCTGCTTCTGCTCCTCTGCAAATTCTTTGAGTGTGGTCATTTCTGGGTAGCTCTAAAGTCTGCTTAGGAAGTGAGTTGCATGGCAACCGAATTACCTGTTTGTTCTTCTCACACAGATCCTTCAGTAAAGCATCCAGCTCATTTTCATCTATGTATCCGTTGCCATCCTGAGGGAGGAGGAATAGAACAGTACAGATTGGAAATAACTGCAGTCCAGAAAAGCCCTGTTGGCAAGTGTCCTAACTGGTGTGTTGCTCCTAAGAAAGTGTTTCTTGCTCTACCACAGATGCAAAATAGGTGAGCAATTTTACAAGTGAATAGATTGAAATTTTCAATGCACTTTTATAGCAGCAGTTATATAGAGTCTAGGTCCAGGAATAGAGAAAATAGAAGCCCAAAGCAGGAACCATCAAACTAATGAACAACTTTTCCTTACCCACGTTTTAATGTGGGAAACTTGTGTGGACTGTTACCCTTTTGTACTTTCCATTCAACTTTGCCAGGGAATATCATTATTGTGTCCTATTTATGAACTAGTTTGTGGCTTGGAGGATTTGGTCCTTTACCCACAGTCTCACAGCTGAATGTTTTAGGCTAGCATCTGACTAAGGTCATGTGATGTGAGATATAACAAGTTTTCTGTGGAATGAATGAGTTGGTTGTATAATTTCAGTTGCCCATGATTTTTAAAAATCATGAACCGTGACTTTGAGGCTTTTATTATTTATTATTTATTATTTATTTTATTTTTATTTTCTTCTGGTGAGCACTTTCCAGGTTCTCATGAGTGAAATTGTAGATCAGAGCAGAACGGAGAAGTAGATATATGATTTTTAAATATAGAAAACTCTCAAGATAGAAAGATGTTGGCATTAATATGTAAATTAAGTAAAGGCATAAAATATAAAAACCAGTTCTGTTTCTAGACATTAAGGATAAACTATATGAAAAGGAAATTAAATCCTTTTGTAATATACTAAAATTAGAATAAACTGCTGAAGAGTAAACTTAGAAAAGGAAGAAAAACACATGTGTACTGACAGTTGTGAAGCACTGACAAAGGAAATCAAAGATATAAGCCAATGGAGAAGCACTTGTGCTTACAGGTCAGAAGACATAAAGCTGTTAAAGTGTTTATGCTATTGAATTCTAAAGGTCAGTGTGATCTCTTCCCAAACTCTAGTGTATTTTAAGAAGAAATAGGAAAGACAACTAAAATTCATAATATCCACAGAAGGTTCAAACCTGAAATTGTTTAGAGGAAAAAGGGGTGAAGATGGAGGCATTGGGCTGGTATGATGGCTCAGCGGCTAAGACAGGCTAGGGCATGCTTTCCTTCCCCAAACAAACAACTAAACAAGCAAACATGAAAATGGCAGCAGTTTCCAATTTCAAAATATAGCACTCAGCTACAGTAAGTAAAGCAGCATGGTAATTACTTAGAGACTAGTAATATAGACTTATGGAATAGAACAGGGAGCTCAGGAATTGGTCCACATGCAGAGAATCGGCTGACATTTCACTGGGGAGCTGCATATAAGGACAAGGACATTCTCTTCAACAAAAATATGGGGAAACTGTGTATCCACATGCAGTAGGGGAAAAAACTGGACCCATGTCTTTCATGTGAACAAAAATTAACTCAATGCAAATATTTAAATCATGAAGCTATAAAACTCCCAGAGCCAGGTGTGGTGGTACACATCTTTAATCTTAGCTCTTGGGAGGCATAAGCAATGGATCTATATGAGTGCAAGGCCAGTCTGGTTTACATAGTGAGTTCCAGGCCAGCCAGTGTGTGACCTTGTGTCAAAACCAAAACCCAAGCCAGACAACATAAACAGAAACTCTTCCTAATTTAAAATAGGTAAGAACTTTATGACATTGGTCTTAGCATTGAGCTTGTGTGCTATGAGCCCAGAGCACAGAAAAAGGAAGACAGGGGAGCTCAGCATGAAAGTTGAAACAGCCATTCACCCAGGCAACCTATGGACTGGGAGAAGGTAGCTGTAAACCATGTATCAGGTAAAGGCATTAATGCCTTACTTAAAGGGAATGTAATATTTAAACATGTAAGGAATATCTACAATTCACTAGCATGAAACCAATCTGATTAAAAAATGAGCTAAAACGTGAATAGGTACATCTTCAAGGAAGATACAAATGTCTGATCAGTTTATGAAAAGGTGATCAGTATTACTGGCCATCACAGAAATGCAAATTAAACAAATCATCTCAAAGCTGCAAGAATCGCTCATACTAGACAAACAAAGGAAGTAAGTGTTGGTGAGGATATGAAGAAATTGAAAATGTGTTTACACTGTTGATGGAAAGTCAAAATGATACAGCAAGTTTGTATGATGACACACACACACACACACACACACACACACACACACACACAAGAACTAACATATGACATAAAACAAAACATCACAAGTCTGCCTTTCCCCCCAGGATCTTGAAGAGATATGACATTCCATGCTCATTGCAGTGGTTTTACAACAGCTACACCTAATGTAGAAACAACCTAATGTCCATGGATGAATAGATAAAGAATATGTATAAGGACATTGCAAATATAGTGCAACATAATAATATCTAGCATTTAAAAATGACACTATTTAATGAATTATAATACAGGCAAACCTTGAGAATATGCAAGGTGAAATAAGCTTGTCAGAGGAGGGTAGTTTCATGAATCCACTGATGAAATGCTTCTAAAATAGTGAACCTCATTGGAGCAATAAAAGAGCTAATGTCAGGAAGGGGAAGTGGAAACAGTCATCCATGGGTGTAAAGTCTCCATTGTTTGAGGTAAATAAGTTCCATAGAACTAACTGTTACACAGCCTTGCGTCTGTAGTTAATAAATATGTTTTATATTTAAGACCTTAAGAGGATAGATTTCAGGTTAAATTATTTTTGTAATGTTTTTTAAAGAAAAAAGTAAAGAAAATACTTTTACCTGATCATATAACTCAAAAGCCTTATTGAACTCTTTCCCACACATTTTGATTCCCTAGGAAGCAGAGGAGAGAGGTTCTGTTAAAATAATATGCATTTCAGCTTGTTTTTCTTGACAAATCTCCCACCTTTTGTCGTCTTAAGAAACATATTATTTATTGTAAAGGAAAGCCAACTACCTGGAATTTAAGAAGGAAATTTTCCTGCACTGGTAGTAACCTTTTGAGAGAAAAACATCATGTTAATAGGTTGGACTTTCAGATAAGGGCCGGTTTATTCTGATAACATATGTGCAGTCCAGAAACTTACCTGGCCATCTCCGTCAGTTCCAGCTTTCCATCATTATTTGAATCAAATAGTTTCAGCTGAAAGACATTGCCAATGTTTGGGTCACTGAGTTATTAATTATTGAATGAAGGGGACAAACACTTAAAAATCAAACATCTTGAGTGCCTGCAGTGCAAGCTCTGACACCGAATTACATCCTCAGCCTGCTTTATTTTTAAAGCAAAAAATTCAACAAAGCAGTAAGTAGGTAATAAGTCTGAATTATTTTCATAATTTCAAATTATTTAATTTTCCATTGGGAATCTTAGCAATATTTGCTAACTTGATATTGTGCTTACATATCACATACTGAGGTACACTCACACATAAATACCATTTCGGAAGCAGTCACATTTTTAGAAAGCAGTAAATATTGCCATAATGAAGGTAATGCTAATAATAAATATGCCAATATAACACACACATATAATATATGCATTGAGATTTAGAGAGGTCTTTCCAAGGGAAAAAGAAAGGATATTCTATGGTTTGAGATGGTTTAAGATTTCTTTGTTGGAAGTACATCAGTTTTCAGGGTTCTGTATTGAGACAGCATTCTATAATCCATAGATTCTAATATTGTTAAACTGTCTGCCAAGATACTGGACAACTAGATCACAGAGTTTTGTGCCCATAGGGAAATGTTTCTTCACCTATATATTTAAATTTTAATTAGTTCTTCATTAATTTGCTTCCTGGATTGGAACTGGTTTATGACATTTAATCAGATCTACTGGGCCAGTCCAACAGGGGGAAGCTCCCATCTGAGTTGTTTTTGAAAGACAGCATCAAATTCCTACCTGGAAAGGCGACTTTACTTTAAATAGAATCCCTTAAGAGTGAGACAAACTAGAAAATTGATAAATGTAGGTTATTGTCTACTTTGCAAAGACAGGGCCAGAGAAAGCTTAGGTCTTGCTTTCATGACGCAGCAAGAGCATCCCACCTGTTTGCTGCTGTTGCTGCAGACGGATCTGTACTGGGGAGTAAAAGACTGAAAGTAGACCTCAGCGGTACTGAATAGAACAGAAATGCTAGAAGATTGTTCCTCAGGGTACCTCAAAATCTAATATAGCATAGAAGTAACATTTTATGATTTATTTACTTAACCCATGGGGTAAGAGCTCATAATAAGTTTACAGTATGTAGAGAAATATAAACATATGTATATATTGCTTGTTTTCCTATAATGTTAATCCTACAATGTGTTAAGATTTGCAAACTACCTACTTGAGATAAAGTACTTTTATAAATGTTTACTTTGTCTCCAACCTCATTAACTGATTTGCATTAGGCACTTTTGTGTAAAGAAGTTTTGTGGCTATATCACTCATATTTTATAACAAATCTTGTTTATACAATTATCAAAACATCAGGCTTAAGGTGTGTTCACATCTCATTCATAGCACTGGTACAATATTCCAAAATAATAAAAGTCAAAGGAAAAGAAACTCATTTTAAGTCATTTAATGAATAAAATAACTAGCAGTTTTCATTAAAGTCTAGAAAAGTCTATGGTTTTCTAAACAGTGGTAAAAATAAGTTCAGAATTTCTGAGCAAAGGGGAATGTCTCTTATGCTCTATGTTTAACACGTATAAGCTATGTAACTTAGCAATACAATTACTCTGGCTTTGTTTGTTGGTTTGTTTTTTCCAGACAAGGTTTCTCTGTGGCTTCGAAGGCTACTCTGGCTTTTAAAGAAAAGTCTTTTTGAAAGGTAAATGTGCTGTAGCTTTTTCAGAAATGCTCATTTATAGGTATATGGCATGCAAAGTGTGACTTATTTACTCCATCCTGGACTTAGAAAGCACACAGACAATGTGTTTAATGAGCTCTTTGGCTAAATCTTTTCCTGTTCAGTCTTACCATGAGGTCTGTGTACTCAGCTAGTTTTGTATCATCCACAGTCTTGTTTGCTTTCTCTAGCAGGTCCTTTAGAAAGTTCTGTTGAGAAAAAGAGTACACAGAAAATTCCATGTCATTGATAATGTATAGTCTGCAACAGAATATACCTGGATGAATGCAAAGAAAACCTCTACGTTAGGACAGATGAGGAAAGGACTTCAGAAGTCAGGTGGGCCTTGTGGCATCCCAAAATGGAACTATCTTTGCCAGGCACAATACCTGCCTCTTACGACACCCAGTTTGTCACAAGTCAGAGCCTTGTTGTGCTCTTATGATTTCAGTTAAGGGGGGATGTAGATTGTGTAATGTGAGAGGATCTGAATTAAACCTTAAAAAAAAAAAAAAAACCAGCCCAATGGATGCCTCTTTTCAGCTGTACTCATGTCATCTTCCTGTTAGAAGTGTAAGGCCCCCTCTCTGTACTTCTATACTTCGTGTGAAAAATGTTTAGCAAGCTAGATGGAAATATATCTTCAATTTAACATGTATTTCCTGCTGCACCCCAGGCCATGTTTTCTTATTTGCAGCTAGTGTTATGCTGTTCTCCAGATGGTCTGGTGGTTAGCTTTCAAGCATCACAGGGTCTACAGGATCTTTGTTCAAACGCTTCCGCTGACTGTAAAAACTACAACAGTTGGCGCCATCGAATCCTTGAGAGACGTATGAATCATATTAAAACAGAGATTAATGGAGAAAGGGTGAAAATGATGATTAGTAACTCAACATTTGGAACTCGGGAGTGAGTTTAATTTTTGTTTTACAGCGATAAACGCTTTACAAAGTCTTGCCATAGAAATGTCAGTGTGAATGCTGAGGGCTGTAATAGCCTTTCATTTTCTCCACTGATGTTCATTTGTAACTCTTTCATTTCCTCAGAAACCAAACTAATGCGGCCGTGGAAACTGAGCAGATCCCATGCCCAGAAAGTCTTGGAGGGCCTTTTTTCTTTGGTGTTTTTGACAGTGCTCTGTCTGCATTAAAGAGAACTAGCTCTGCTGGGGTGACTCGGCTTCGCAATTTTCAAGGACAGGCCCTTTCTTGGTTTGATACATTTATTTCCACTTTGAACACTCTGCTTCAGAACCAACGTGAAGCATAGAAAATTCAAAGTTATCTGGTGGGGGTGAGTTTTATTTTTGAGCCTTCTGAGGGTTTTTTTGTCAGAGATTAATTGGGTTAAAAAACCTCATCAGACACTGAAATGGTGGTCACAAAAATAGCCTTGGAGAAACCTTGGGACACTAGGATTCAAAGTCATGTCTGAGAGCAAGCGATGTTTTACTCTATTATGGATCTTAAAATTAGCTTTCTTTCCTTAAAATTAGCTTTCTTGAAAGATCCATTAAAAAAGAATGCCAACTTATCTTGAAAATTCTCTAGGGAGGAGGACTGCTATTTAGAATTTCCTTTCTGAGAATAGAATTTAGAACAAAGAGAGAGACTTTAAGAATATTTTGAGGTCAGTCTTGAAGTGAGCTAAGGTTTCCATTATGTACTGTAATGATATTTTACAAATCATTCTTTTAGTCTAAAAGAATAAAACCACAGTGGCTTCCTTGTCACCTTGTGGAATCTAGGTGCAGAACAAGTTCTAAAAGACATTGTTTTCAGGAACTTTGTATCAAAAGTGTTGGCATTTTAAAGAGGCTGCTGTTGAGTCTGTTTCAGCAGTTCCATGGTGGCACAAATGTACCAGTCTAATCCCTAAAATTCTATCCTTCTTAAACCATGTTTAACTGTGATTAGGAAAACAATGCTTCCATTTCCCCCAAAAGCAACCACAGAAGCAGCTCACAGTGAAGCTTGAAGCACAAGATGCTGTAGGAAAAGAGTGTTATTGATGTTAGCAGACACTCTAGGGCCAAGCCTAGCTTCTCGTCCTAGGCAGTCAGTCATGTGATTTTGAAAAATTCCCTGGCCATTCTGACCTTCTGTCTCTCCACATATTGGGAGTCTTAGTAAACTGCCTTACAGATTTCTTGAAGAATAAATGCTGAGATGCATATCAAATGCAGTACTATTCTGTGACATAGAAGGCATGTCTTTGTGATGGTGTGAGGGTGCACAGATGAATGGCACACATATGCAGGCCAGAGAACAATCCTCCTTTTACCCTGTGACGTCCAGGGAAGCAAACTCAAATTGTCAGACTTGCTAGTGGGTGCCTTGACCCATGGAGCCATGTCACTAGTACTTGCTTCCACTTAAGCACTCTGTGTTCTGAAGTTAGAGGAAATAGGGCTTTTCTGACTAAGGGGTCTTCTGGTTGGCTGGAGGAAATGAGGTGGATAATTTGTTCCCATTCCTGAATTGAGTGTAATATCATTTGTGATGCTTTGCACTTCACAGAATGCTGTGCAGTATCTTAGACTCCACAGTAATCTGACACCGCAGTATCATTACCCCTGCTTTAGAGATGAAAAATAGTAGAATGACATGGTCATTTGTCCTGAGGTTATATTTGATTCAGATTTCTTTTCCTTATATCCCTCTCCCACATGACCTCCTCATTACTTCTGTGAGATATGAACTGGGAGATTTATTTTCAAAATTTCAGTTTTCCGCAGTCTAGTTGTGTAATTCATGTTGCCAAGAGGCAGCTGGTCATATACTATGTCTAAGGCCTTGGATATGGATGAGTCTGGGATTAAACATTACAGCCTTTGTCTTATTTCTGTATGGCCTTCAGTAGGTCTCTTAACTTTTTGCATATTTTTGTCACTAGGGTAATGCTTATCTCATATAATATATGCAAAGATGAAATAAATATGCATAAGGTACAACACATGTCTCTGTCATTTGTTTTTTTGGAAGAACAAAAGCTATTTAGGCATTCAATTTATAAAATAAAATTTCAGATTTCAGTGGAGAGTGGTAGCATATTTAGTTGGCACAGTTAGCCACCTCTATCTATCTGTCTCTGTATGTACGTAGGTCTACCATCCATCTATCTTATGTAACAGTTTAGGTACACCACAGAAAATGCTAATTTCTTGCACTGATGAACAGAATCACAAGAAGCACTTGAAGTCTGTCTTTCGATCTGGTGTTTCTTTAATGATGTGAAGAGTGGGTGCAAATGTGCCACTGCTCAACATAAGTTTCTTTTGTGGGAGGTTTTTTAAAAAGCTATGAATCCCTTAGCAGTTCATGATTGCATCTGCAGGGAGCATGCTTAGCCTCGCCTTGATTTGCTCACCTTAAGTTCCTCAGTTTCTATGAAGCCGCTGTGGTCAGTATCATACTTTCTCCAAGTCTGCAAGAAATTTGAAGACAGAAAACCAGATTTAAATAAACCAATAGAACCCACCAACTAATTTACTTTCAGGATCTTTCTTACAGGGCAGATCATTTTTACCTTCATAAATTCCTCACAGGACTTCAGTTGCTGGCATCGGAAAAGCAGCAGGAAATTCTCTTCTGTGGGTAAGACATGAGCCAACTGGAAAAGATGAAAAAACAGAGATGAGGAGCCTGGAAAGGGGCTGGGCCATCACCTGCTGCTTCAGTTTTGCCTCAACATGCTCTGTGAGCAACAGCATTGACCGAGAAAGTGGGAGAAGATAAGTATTAGCTGACTAATAGAGTAGGAGAGGGCAGACATAGTCCACTTTCCCTTTCTGATGCTTTGCTTCGGCAAAATACCGAGGCATGTTCCAATTCCTATGCCTGGACGACCTGACTGCCCAGCTGAAGACATGGCTGTAGTGGACCACTTTTCATCTCCTGCACATACATGCAGATGCATGTTGCATAAGCTCTGTGCCACCCATCAGGTCTCCATTCTTTCAGCGTACCCAGGATGGCACACACTGTGACTCTAAATTTCATGTGAAATGAGAAATTGTGAGGAACATGATACAGGTAAAAGGAAGGAAGAAAAAACATATACATGTCTAGTTCTGTAGAGAAACACAACTTCAAATCAATATAAAGAGGTGGAAAAACACATCACCACAGCAGGGGGACTGAGGCAGTAATAGGGATGCTCTTAAACTGTGATCTCCACTCAGAGAACATGTGCTGCTTGAATCTGGGGCTCAGGTAAATTTTTGTTCTTCCCTGTGTGTCTCTGTGACATTTCACCTTAGATCTCCTTCTGTAACTTCAACACCTCTCCCTCCTTTTTTTTCCCCATCTCTCTCCTTGCCTCCCTCCCCTCCCCTCTATTTTGAGGAATAAAGAGCCACAGATCCCATTTTAAGACTAATATAATCTATTGCATGTGGAGAAGGAGGTTGCGGGATTGATGGCTCCACTGCTGATGTGACTACTATTTCTGGCTCTGCTGCTAATGAGCTGTGGTCCCCAGCAACTTCCCCAGCTGCACTGGCCCTCACTATCTTCACCACTAGGAAAAGGAGGTGAAGGAGAAATGAATGTCCCCAGCTCAAAATGTGTGCTGTTGGAATTACTGACCCTTCACGTTAATGAATCTTCACCTTATGAATCTCCATATGCAATATTTGACGAATTTTCAGCAGTAGTTAAATTCCCTGAAGTACAGACATGAACCCTTATTCTTGGTACATACACTTTAAACCTGTCTAGACAAGAACTACTTAAATTTCTTCCAATTATCGCTTCATTTCTCCTGAGGAAGTTTTATGTGACCCCAGGTATATACAATATAGACATATAGATAGACATTTACTGATAACAAACCATAACAATTTAGTTTAAAGTAATTCTTTTATATATTTTTACCATTTATTAAAGATGAACTCAAATTATTTGTTTTTATATAAAGATTAAATCTTGGTTGGATGTTTGATAATACAAGATGCAGAACATTTTCAATCTTTCAGAATTGATCTATCTGTGACAATTCCACGATGTACAGTAAAATTGTCACTAGTGTGAACAATATTTCACATAAGTACATAATATAAAATGGCAGTATCATGTTTTTACACCATTACAGAAACTGTTGAAAATTCTGTCCTAATTCCAAACTAGAATTAATTTAACAAATTTTTGTGAAATTCAACTTGACATTTCTAACAGAAAATTTTAAAATCAAGTATTGTAACACAATACAAAGATATAATAATTTGTTGCATGCTGAGGAATGACAGTAGGAAAATATTAGAAGACTCTGTTTTCCGCTAATATGTACAGTAAATGAGACTGCAATTCACAGCACACACCAGTCCTAGCTGGGGTGTTTTTGGCAGTGCTTGTTGGTGTTGCAGGATGTGATGTATGTTCAGTGCCAGATGAACATGTGTGTTGAGCACCAAGGATGTAGTGAAGTTGTGCAAGGTGAGTGCTGCCAGGAACACCTTGGGTTCACTACACTTTTACGTTTGAATTAATTTTTGTTTCTTTTGTGCTCAGAAACCTTCTACTGTGACCATACTGTTTGTGACCCCACATAGGTCACTATCCTCAGTTTAAGAATTCGGGGATGGAATTAGCATTAAGGTCAGAAGATGTCCAAAACATTCAAATAAATTATGGGATGGATTATCACACCTTAAAATTTTCTTATTTTTGAGCCCATCAAAGTTTGAAGTTTAATGTAAACCATTATTTCACCCTATGTACAGGCAGCGTCATCTTCCTTATAGCTGTGTAATACGTCCTTTAAAGTATCTCGCTTTTAGATCTTTGAAAAAATACCTCAAGTTATAACAGCTATGTTCATAGTCTTTATGTATGGGGTTAGAGTAAGGTGAAAGACAAAATAAATAAATCTTGCTAGAATATTTACTATGATCCAGTCATAAAACATCTTAACTAGAAGCAAATGCCACTAGTGTGGGTAGATGATATGCATCTAAAACTAGAAAATAGGGCATTAGAAATTAAATCAGGTTTTGGCCTATAAATACACTTATACCACTGTAGTGTGAGATTATGTATATATTTCAGGTATCTTTGTACTACATTCAAGTCTTATCTGTATAGTTGATTTCTCTACCCATAAAATTACAGAAATAATTCAAAGCACAAACTTTTGAGTTGAGGATGCTGAGACACAGATTGAGTGATCTGCTCTGGTACTTGCAGACTCTGAAACTCAGTTAAAATTGATGAATGTTAATCAAAAGTCTGCACCATGCTTCTTGATTACAGTAGTAGGATGAATTGGTTGCTGCTTCCCTCTTCGAATGCAAACAATGCATTTGTTGGTGATTGCTACCAGTGGCTATGAGAAGCCATGCTTCATTTTACTCATTGAAACCTAGAACTCATCTTCCTTGTGAGGTTTTCTTTCCTTTACATCTGTACGTGGGCCCCTAGTAGAAAGATGCTGTAAATGGTTTTTATTATTAAATAATCTTAAATTATGCCCAGAAAGCAGGTTTCTACTGAAGCTAAGGGGGAAGATGAGAGAGGGAGAACTGGACACAGAGGGTAATCAAAGAGTGGAGAAACAGCAATGCTCCTAAAGTCCAGTGTAGAATACTGAAGGCTTTCTGGAGAATGTTTCTTTCAGGACTTCAAGGGACATGAGGAGGGAGGAAATATTTATCGGGGAAAGGGGTGAAGACAAAGAAGTAACAAAGTAGAAATCCTAGGTTTTAAAGAACGAGGAAACATGTCAGTGATTAGCCAAGTTGACCAACAGAACTTGATGATAATGGTACATGTTGGAAGGTTGTATGTGATTCTCAAAGTCTGTTTGTGTTATGTCACAGCTGTGATTAACACAAGCACCCATTTAGGACTGGAATAGCCAATCTTAACTCTTCCTTAGCTTATTGATGTGTGTCCTTTAATGCTTGGAGTGAATCTCTCTCAGGCCATTTCAGGAGTTTAGTTTCTTGTCTGCATCATATGCCCATCCAAGGTCAATGGAACCCAGCATATCAGGTGCCTAGATCACATCCTTGTGATTTCTTGATGAAAACTTAAAATATTTCATTGACATGATATAGAGTCAACAACCTTTACTTATACCATTTTCTATATTACATGATTTTTATGAAATATCTGTTGTCTTAAACTAAGAAATAATGACTTCTCTTAAAAATATACTTCTGAAAATCTACCCACTATTTAAAAATAGAAAAAGTAAAGGAATACACTAGTAAGTAATGATTAGATGTAAAATTAGGGGAATTTACCCTAATTTACAAAATCTTTGTTTTGTAAAGTTTATGTAACTCGAATACAGACCAGAGATTCATAGGGTGTCAAATATAAAGAGAGCCATAGTCTCCTCCTTTTTGTTTTTTTCAAGACAGGGTTTCTCTGTGTAGCCCAGGTGTCCTGAAATTCACTCTGTAGACCAAGATGGACTCAACTCAGAGATCTGCTTGCCTCTAACTCCTGAGTACTGGAATTAAAGATGTGCACCACCATGCTCACTGTTCTTTATGGATAGTATAGATGTATATTTCTTTGTACATGCTGTTTTGATATTAATTATAAAATATTGATTGCATCTATATGTAAGATGTTCTTTATAAATATCATTAAACTGTTAATGCTGTACTCATTATAGTACTATCTTATTTAAAAACAAGTGAATTTTACTTGCATAAAATATCATTGTAAGACAAAAATAGCCATTTAAAAAGCACTGCATGTGTATGGATGATATGTCCCTGGGGTGAATAGAAAGACTGCCTTTTCTAGGTGAATTTTACAATGTGGTGGTTCTGGGTTGTCTGTTGGCCCTTCGGTCAATGCATAGTAATAAATATTCAAATCATTATACACATGGATGTGGAGATTCTCCATCTGTAGCAATTAAGACAAGGTCTAGCATGTGCCAATGGTCTTTCACAGAAGTTACTAGGTAGGACTGCTTTATTCTTAGATTTGCTAAGTCACTGATGTCCACAGAAGTTCCCAGTCCTGATTTCAAGATTGTTGGTGATTTGTTAGTCACTGGGTCACCTGCTTTCCCTTTCTTGAACTTCCCAATGTTTAATGTTAGCTGCAGAAAAAGTGGAATGAATCGAGGGAGTAAATGGAATGCAAGACAGACAGCTATGGGTACAGATAGAATTCCATAGGTCTTTACTTATGGAATTGGTTGTTTGGCACTGAAAGTGGAGAAGCAAACATCTTTCCACTTGCCTGTGTCCTTGAGGATACCATTTATATTTTCTTTACTGTTTCTTTGCCTAGCAACTGCATCAATAATTATTGTACTGATGGCAATGAATGATGGTAACTCTGCTTAGAGTCGGCTGCTAACACATGGAAGTAAAGTTCCCTTGGACATAATTCAGTTTATTCCTGGGCTGTGGATAGGGGCTGCTGTGGATATTGGGAGATCCTACCCAGAGCTGTTTCTGGGTCCAAGAGTATTGCTCTGCACACAGCTGCCCCTTTGAGGAATTGTCTGGGCTGAAGATGACTGCACCTCTAAGGAGGCTGTATCTCATAGTTAATCCACACAGGACCCAAAAACTCCACCTCCTTAGTAAAAACTTGGGAAATCTCTGAAGGAGCACCCCCATTTCAGAGATCATTACAGAGAAAGTGTCTATTAAAGCTTTTTTGGGGGCCCAGCATCCCTCAGGGTCGAGGCAGGCTGTCTTTACTCTCCTGCAGGAAGTGATGCCCAAGTACTTACTTCCTAATGAAACTCAGGTCTACTTCCAGGGAACTCAACCCTAAAGGATTTTCACATGCATTCTTTGTCATTTCCTTTCCATCTCTAGCATAATAGGGAACCCCTGTCTTATGCTTTCAAAAGGGTTGAAATCCTGGCCATGCCTTATCTGACTGTAATTCTAGGCCACTGTGTTTCTTGCCGGTGATTCATAGTTACTCCAGTAAGATTCTTACAGGAAGATCGATGATTTCACGAACATTCCCCCTAACAATTTCTTTTTAATTTAAATTAGAAACAACCTTATTTTATATATCAATTCCAGTTGCTTCTACCTCCTATGTCCCCCACCAACCCCCCATCCCATCTCTCTTCTCCGCCATAGAAAGGGTGAGGCCTTCTATGGGGATTCATCAAAGTCTGTCACATCCTTTGAGTCAGGGCCTAGGCCCTCCCCTGTGTGTCTAGTTACCTTAACAATTTCTAAGCAAAGGATAGAAACAAAAATAAATCAAAATGCTACATGTCAGATTACTAACGGAGGGTGACTTCATGGAGGGACAAATAACTAAAACAGACATGTCAACACACACAAAAGCAGAATCCATCACATTTAAAGGCAACTATGTGACACTTCGAACTTTCTGAGAACATTAGACAAGGATTTGTTTTTATATTTGGAAACCAAAGAAGCATTTCCCCCTGCCAATGAGAAGTGAAATGTAGAGGGTAAATAGTAATGAACTTAAAAGTATTTGAGTTTAATAACTTGAATTTAATAAATTATGTAAGAAGGAGAAAAATTTTTGGCACCTAGAACAATAGAGTAGGGTTTTCAGTAACTCATTTCTATATTTAGTAATAATGCTAATATGTGTACTAAGCTTTTACAGTGGTCTGTTTTTGTTTGACATGAATTATCTCATTAGATGCTAATGTTCATAAGATACATATGAAGTTAGAACATAGTCATACTTGTTCATAGTCGAGGAAACAGACGTTTTGAGACTATTTTTATGTAATTTGTAGTTTGAGGCAGTTTTGAAGTCAGATGATGTAACAGTTTTGATTTTGAGACATCAATCCCTTACCATCATCACCCTTTACTTAAAACATTGTTTTCAATAACTCATTTAAAAAGTCTATCCAGAACAAAATTTCAAACCCTATTTTACCATTAATCACTTTCCCCAATTCTAAAGTAGATAAGCGTTCTGTCAAAAATAATAACCTTTCCCCAGGCTAACTGTACACTCTTAAAGTCCACTGTGGAAGAGAGGAGGAATTGGCCAGATTGCTTCCCTTCAATGGTTGTTACAGTTTTTAGGTTCAAATAGCTTTTAGATCTGTCTCTCTTTCTGTGCACCCATTGACCTGGACAGACAGAACACTGAGTCTAGAGAGGTTGATAGGCTCCCACACATTGCCCAAGGGAGTATAGTGAAAGCTTCAAGATTTGACATCTAACAAAAGGAGGCATCTGTGTGTACTTCATGGGAGACCCAGAGAAAGGAATTCCATGACCTGCTAAATCATTCAGTCTTCCTCCTTAATTATTTTAATGGACCTTCTTTACAACAGAACTATATTAGTGTGAATAAATTTAGAACATTTCTGATTGCCATGGTATTTATTAAGTTATCTCAGATTTTCAATGATCCTCCCTTGAATTTGTATTAACAGTCTTGTTATTACTGAACTGTCTTCATGTGAATTTTAATGTCTATTAAAATCATTAAATTAACAAATTCAGAATATTAGACATATCAACATTTCTTTACTTTGAGTATATTTAGGTAAAAATGCACATTATGGAAAGTGTCAGTTTACTGTATCAGGTCAGAACACTGAAAATTAAGTACAGAATTTTCCTTTCTTTTAATTCAATTGGGTGGTCCCCCCAGGGAAGCAGATTACTGCATACCTATTAGTTTCCTTTGATTAGACTTCAGTTAGTCCAGGAGTCTAACTATTAAGCGAGCATAACATACAAGCCAATTCAACCCCTTTCATTTTTGAACACTAAGGCATAGTGTACTTGCTAAGAGGAAGGAGACTATAATGTATTTGGAAAACATGGGGTTTTTGTGTTCTGCTATAGCTAGCTAGGCTTTTATACTGGAATGCCATATTATAGGCAGGATTTCTAAGCAATCAATATCATGTATCAAATTGGACATGGGATGAACAGCATTTAGCCCAACTTGCGGGTGATACTAGAGGGCTAACTGAGTTCCCACATTCCCCACTGTCTCCTTGTTTTCTGTAACATTTTGGTTCTTTTTCCCAGGCATGCATCAAGACTGATCTTTTCTTATCTCTTACTTAGCTGTCCTGGACATGTGTTATGAGCCATTGCCGCAGTCTCCTTGCTATTTTCCAATCTTAAAATTCTTTTCTCTTTAGAGAATGTCTTTCAGCTGGCTCTTCCAAGGAAAATCTTGGGTAATAACTGTTATGAGGGCTCATAACTGTACAGTGTACCATGCACAGTATCGTTAAGCTATGCTGTTTGGCAGGTTTGCTATTCTCTCTCTTTCTTTTTATCCATCTTCTTTTATTTCCATTTTCCTCATGCATACAGAATCCCTTCCTTCCTAATAGTTTTTATCTCAAACTTGTGGAGATCATGTTTCACTGTATCTTAAGACAATGCATCTGCTGGCTTCTCATGGACATAAAAGTTGAAATGTTACGTCTGAAATGGTTAGACTCAATCCAGGTTATTCATCCATTTTACCTACTTAAAATTTAACACTTTGTGAATAAGCTTCATGCTTTTGCCACATAACCTTGTAACACCAAATAAGTGACTTATGATAAATAAGCAGGTCCACTGGAGGGCTTCAAGGTGAAATTGCTAAATACAAGATGGTAATCTTCCTCCAACTAGAATTATAAAATATTCCAAGCTCTGAAATAGACAGTTTAGAAAAATCACTGATATTAGACATTCAAACTAGTTTTGAGTAATTATTTATCTTATTTCACTTACATTCATAAATATAATTTTATTATTCTTGTCTTGATTAGTCGGCCTCTACATCAACTGAAAGTTCAATGACTATTATCTATTTATACAGTAATGAGTTGCTCACAGGCAAAGGGGGGAAGCATATGCTCCAGGGAGAAATTTTAATTACAAAGATAATAATAGTATGTCCTCCCTATTTGTAGTAGGTGTTTAAAAATATGTATATTTCATGCTGGCACCACAAGTGTCCTAATAAGATCAATTATTTGAAAACCAGGCTAAGTCTCTGAATCAAAAGTGATTTATATTTTGAAGACCAAGCACCTCACAGTTGAAGAGACCAAGAATGTTTTATGAACATAATTGTGATTGTAGTATTTTATATTTCAAAATGTCATTTTATTTTATTTTTCTAGATAAATCTTTCTACCAAGTTTTTAAAAAGGTGGCAGAGCTAAACACAGCTGAGATATCACCAGTAGGAATAAGGGAAGCAAAAACTATTTTGCAAATTTAGAATATAAATGGATAAATAATTGATTTTGTTTCCTTAATTTATAGGCATAATAACATGTCTTTAAGGGGAAAAGTTATTGTCAAAAGGCAAGATTTCACATTCACTTTTTAGCTTCTAGAGATTTAAATGTGAACCTTTACCAGACGGTGGAGGATTCATCCATTGTAGGAAAGTTCTTGTGCCTTTGATAAGGTCATCTGTCAATCTGAAATGGAATTTCAGAAACCAGGATGCAGCCTTTGGCTATGACATCTTCACGGGTCTGAAAACATTGATTTAAAAATATTCCAGAAAATTTTACACCGCTAAACGTTAACAGATTAATTGTGTACCCAGCCTCTGTGCTGAAGACAGTGTGGGATTGGCAATGCAGAGCATGCTCATCCAGAAGATGGGATTTGCTTGTTCTACCAGTGTCAGTGACAGGACTTTGTGTTTCACTCTTGGCCAGCTTTATAATGCTTTTAATTTAGGATTGGGGCTACATTAAACTCTTCACTCTCTTTTCAAGTTTCTACCATTTTAATTTGATGTTTTGAAAGAGAAGATGCTATATTGACATTGGGTGGCCTCTATGAATGAGTTATGTTTGACTTAAGATCACTAGATAAATTTCAAAGTTGATGTTCATTCATTAAACCAGACAAACACATAGGTTCCTTACCTCTACAATTCCTATTTTGCCATCATCTCTCTGCCCATACTGGTCCACAAAGGTTTTCATCTCAGGTGATAACTCCTAAAATTATAAAAAATTATGTAAGATGTTTGTGAAAAAGTTCTTGTAGTGATGTTAACAAATTATTGCAAAGAAAAATGAAAATTGAAATAGAATAGCTGATCGTATACTTTAAAATTGTTTGCTTTGTGGAAGGTTATTTTATTTTGCTGCAAGTTTTGTCTTATAACATCTCCTTATTTTAACATAATATCTTGTCTATGGGAAGTGGAGTAAGTATTTGGCTTGGACAAGTAGAATATGTGTATGTGAAAGAGTAGCCCAGTTTGTAGGCAATGAATCTTTCCAGCTTGAAAAAGGTGTGTGTTCATTAGAACATTAAAAGGGATAAAAGTGTGAGAGGAAAAAATGACAAGTTTGTGTTTCACTAGGAACTGACAATACTGAAGAACACATTTTAGGCCACAGATTAAATGTGTCTGATCTTCACCTCTACCACGACCATAGGGAACAATTTTCCAAACTGCTCTTGTTTCCACTTTCTTCAAGGTATTATTTTTCCCACATATTTTGTATAATAAGCAGTGATATACACTGCCTTCTTATTTGACTTTCCCCACCTCCAATATGCCTATTCCTTCTATAATATCTTTATATATAGGCATATTAGAAAGTTATGAACTGTAAGCTATTTTAGTTTTTAACACTTGCGTCTCAAGCAAAGCCCAGTTAAAATATCTCTGTGACATAACTGGTTTATTTAAAATAGGTCAGTTGTTACTAATACCCTATGCTATCTCCTTGGGAAAGCAAATTAAGGTCCTGATTTTCACCATAATATACAAGTTGGCAGTGCCAACCACACAAGTTGACTTAGATAGCTGGTCTAATATAACCCAAGGGTCACACTGAAGCTCTAAAGCATTAATGCCAGCACTTACCCTTTAGAAATCATTGTAAATATGTAGTAGAACTAAGGTAGCAAGAAATAATACATTAATTTAATTACACTGTGGTCCTACAAGAACCCTTCTACTATAGGTAATTTTCAATTTGGTTTATTAAATTTTGTTACAAAAACAACTATAAGAAAATGAAAGTGCCTAGCTCAATAGTGTCAAGCACAGGGATTTCAGTCCCAGATTTTTTACACATATCTTTAAATGAACAAAATAAAGCCTTCATTGTTAAATATTGAAATTATATGATACTACTGGTTCAAGAAGCAGACAACTTGATATTTAGCTTGGGAAGTTTCTGGGTAGCAACTGGGTTGTAATATATGTTGTAAACAGTGAGGAGCATGTATAATCAGCATCATCAATTAAAGATTTATAAGGATGAAGGTAAATGTAATGATGAAGCATGTTTAATGCATAAGGACAGTGGTTTCAGAAATGGTATACTGGGCTATCATATTCATTTGGTGGAAATGTGAAATCTCACATTATTGTGGTGAGCCAAAATAAATGTTTCTCTCTGTCCTTCTATTCCAGGAAAAGAGAAGAAGTCTGGTTTGTCAAGTCAGCATGCATAAAGAAATACATAAAAGTAGGTTTATCTTAGCAGACCACTAGCATAAATGAAATGTGCCCAATATATATGAATTCTTAATCTAGATCTTAATTTAGATTTTATTTATCCAACCAAAGCCTATTACATAATCCATAAAAATACTCAGGTACCAAGGTATTCAGCAACTTGATATGACCATATGCTTGTGTGGAAGATGAGTCTTATCAAATTACAATCTAATTACAGCTTCTTATAGACCAAAATTAGCTTCTAGGCGCAGAAAAATAAATGTTTTAACTCTTTAACTCCTATCTGACCTCTGTTTTGTTTTGTGATTTTTGTTTTCATATTTTAATTATATGTTTATTTTACATAAAATAAAAGTGTTAAAATGAGGAGAAAAAAATCTTTGAAAAACACAGAACTCATGTATTTATAGGGTGGAAGTAAATCTCAATATTAAAGTTACTTCTGGAAAATTAAAACCTGTTCATTTAGCTGTTAGAAGCACCATTCAAGGTTGTAAATTACAGTTTCTCTGAAAAATATGACTCTCCATATATATTTGATATATTTTAATCGAGCAAGAAAATGACTTCAGTCTTATCAGCTAAAGACCCATAGAACTATAGTGATAGTATTGCATGGTAATACTATGTAGTGTATGATAGGTAAAGCAGCAGGTGGAAACAGGGCAAAGTGCGTAGAAGACATTATTATTTGATCTCATTCAATTAAACTTTTAGATTACACTGTATTAAATCTGAGTAAAAGAATCCCAAGAGCATGTTCTAGTTTAAAGTCAGGCTGGCATGATTTTAGCAACTTCATAGTCTGCTTATAATACATTAGAGTACATTTACAACCCTGTGGGTTCCTTCTAATATGTTGTATAGAGATACCTACCATACAAATGACATCATAGACACAACAACAACAAAAACTAGTCCTATTAGTACATTTCACCCACCCCCTCATAGCACTTGAAAGATATGTGATATTTAGGGATGTTATGGGTATAATTTTTTAATGTAAAATATCTTTGTAATTGTAGTCTCAAAGACCATTAACATTTAACTACTCCAAATCCAACATTGCTTTCTGAGAGGCAGTCTTACATAAATGCCAACAGACCTGTAAAATTTTCCTTTATGCAAACATCTTACATTCTTAAAAGCTGGCCGGATACATTTTATTTTTATGTTGACATCATCTTTTCCCTACAAATACATTTGGCTCAAAGGAATTAATTTATAACCAATAATTATCATTTGTTTAAACAATGGCTTAATTTAAAATCATAGCTTATTTTAAAATCATCACTAATAGTTTCTCATCAGAATTTTTTCTTTTTACAATACATGAAATTCTTTTTTTTTCATTCATTTATTTAGCTCATAAATAAAGGCATGCACTATTATGATACAGAATACAGTATGTTCACAGTGGCATGGCTAAATTAAACCAATTAACACAATACATGAAATTCTTAAAAATGCTTTGTTTTATTGTTTTCCTAATTTTGGAGTTTCTCTCCAACAAAAAAATGAAAAACGTTTTTTGCCACGTTCTCATTCATACTTCCGTTACACGTTAGTTATGATTATCTTTTTTCAGGGATAAGGGTGAAGGCAAGCTGTTTGCTCATTCCTCACCCCCTAGCTACACCGACATCGCAGCAATAATTGGCACTAGAATCTGCAGATCTGCTCCTGGCCACCAAGGGGCAGAAACGTATTTCTACCCCTAACTTAGCGTCTAGAAAAGAGAAGTTAGAAATCACCCAACTCAGTGGTAGAGATGCGGGTCTGATAAAGGGTCTCACACATCGATGTTGCCCTTTAAGATCTATTAAGGAAAGGACGAGTATAGACTCTTTTTGCCCGATTTCAGACAATAGGGATTTTTTTTTCTGTAGACTCCCCTCTGCTCCTGCACACACACACACACACACACACACACACACACACACACACTTTCTCCTGACTTCATTTGGAAAGATGTTCTTTCTTGCCTTTCTTAGTAAGACTTTATTTTCGCCCTCGAAACCTCTTTCATGAAACACAAGAATAGGTATGTTTTAGGGTTGAAGGGTCCTACAAAAACCCAAGCCTACCAATCCAGCCTTCTTTCGCGCCTGCAGGAGCTCCTGGATCAAGTTCTGCAGCTCCTTTCCTTCCAGGTAACCACTTCCTGCAAAGAGAAAGAGGCACCCAGGTGTCAGATGTCTCTTTCTAAGTTTCTTCTCGGTTCTTTCCAGGACAGCTGTCCTGAGAGGCTATGTAGCCTGAGCTCTGATTAATCAGCAATGGGTATA